CTTCTTCACCCTCCTCCTGCAAACCGGCCTCCTCGTGCTCGTCATCTTCGGCCTCCTCCTGCTCACTCTGCTCGTCCGGCACCTCCGACACCTCGCCTTCCACCTCCTCGTTCTCATCGGCCTCTGCCGGCTCGCTTTCCACCTCCTGGTCTTCGTCCCCCGGCTCTGCTGCCACTTTGGTTTCTGGCTTGTTAACATGCCCAGCTACGGGAACTGGGGCCTTGGCCTCAAAGCTGCCGCCGCTGCTGACCTCCGCAGTTTCACTCCTCCGCTTCATGGAGGATGTGACCTCGGATCTTGAGACGAACATTGCCGCATCGTTCTTGCCGCCTCCATCCATTGGCCTCGACCGCCAACTGGAGTCATTGTCGGGGCCGACATTGCCGACCCGATTGTACTTCCCGCTGCCTTTCCCAAACGGGTGCTGTCCAGGGCCGCTGTGATGGTTCAAGGACCAATGACTCTGCTGCCCGCCCATGCCCCCCATTTGCGTGGGCATCATGAGCGGTCCACTGCCTGTGTGCATCATGTGGTTTGGCTGGCCCATCTGCATGGGCATCTGCATGCCCTGCATGCCCTGCATGCCCATCTGGCCGGAATTGTTCATTTGAATCATTTGATTCACCATGTGGCCGCCTTGGCCTTGCTGCATGCCGACAGGGACATAGCAAACGATGTATCCATCGTTGCCTGTCTGCATTTGGGGCCACTGCCACTGCTGCATTCCACCCCACTGCCCGCATCCTTGCTGCTGGCTAACCCAGCCTTGCTGGGCAGGCCATCCCTGGTGAATCCATGCTTGCTGCCCCCCCCACGGCTGTTGCTGTGGCCACGCCGGCCGCTGCATCTCGCCTCAACTATGTACACTACACTCAGGTAGCCACAAGTGCCACCCTACTTTTGCTGTCTGGCTTCGAGCCACAGCTTCAACACGTGCAATGGCTTGTTATTCGAGAGCAGTTATGCCATTATTGTCTTCGACGACTACTTTCTATGCTACTGCATTCCCTCATATACTTCTCACGGAGAAAAAAAGACCCTGAGTCTGGCACCAAGAGACTTTCAACGCTTCGAAGAGGCGGGTCAGGACCTTAGAAGTAACTTGCAGGCATGCAGGCATTGCTCTTGATCATGTCTCATGATGGGAAATGAGGGAGCATTTCAGTGTCTTTCCCGGAGGTCCCTAAGCGGATGCTGGTAGCCGGGAGGTGCAAGAAAAGGGGCTTCTGGGCCACATTGAAAGGCCTTGGAGCTGTCAACTGCATGGAGGCCCTTCTTGGGCAAAGGGTCGCATGCTTGAAAGAACGTCGTCTGTGCTGTGGACAGTTGCTCTGGCTTCGTTTTGGCCGAAGTGGAACATGTAACCTGCGCTGCACGCAGGGTCGTGCAAACAGCGCGTGGATATCTTGCATAGACCCTTTGAAGGAGTGACTCAAACAGTCATTGGTGGCGTCAAGCTTAAACTGCCCTGTCAGTAGCTCCCATGCAGACTTGGGCCCAAAAGGCCACATTCGAGGCATGTGTGGGGCCTTGTTACAAAGTCTGATGAATTTGGGCTTCGAGCTTGCGTGCTACAAGGTCTTGCAAAACTGTTGGTGCATCAGCTGAGCGGCCAACATGAGAGACGCGGTAGAACTCCAAGACTTCAGCTGGATGCATCCTAGAAAGCAGCAGGCAATAAGAGGGGGTCTACCCTAATTAGAGTGATGCAGCTGTCACACCAAGGTACCCAGGCTACACAAACAGTCCAGACCGCACAAATTAAATGCCCCCTGACTGGATTCTTCCGGCTGGTGGACACTTTGAAATTCGTCTTGCTAAAACGTTGTGAAGGATTCTGAATTGGTCTAGCGCCTGAGCCGCACTCAGGCCAAGAGATGAAGCAAGGTCAAAAACCTGTGGCGGCTTGAAGACATGACTTTGTGGCACTCATGATTGGAACCACTAGCCTCAACGGCAGCAACGAAGCCAACAGTCCTAAAACGTCTGCTTCCTTGGTCTACCACGACAGAAGAGTTTCTGACTGAGCAATCATTCCTCTAAGAACATGTACATGCAGCAATGGAATGACACTGAGAAGAAGGATGAGTCTTTTTCGCGGCTAGACTCTAACCCTAAAACTTTAAACCCTACCCTAAACTCTAAACCCTCAACTCCAAACCCTAAACACCTCCACCCAAACCCTGGGCCTCTGCTCTCTAGCTGGACCCCCGTCTGCAGAGTCAGATCCTCTTCTGCCTCGCCACCTCGCAGCGGTTTAGGGTTCAGGATTTAGGGTTTGAGGTTTGGGGTTTCGGGTTTAAGGTTTAGAGTTTGGGACCTCTGGGGCTGTTTGGGCTCAGGGCCTTGGAGGTTGCAAGAAGGTTGGAGGTATGCTGAAAGTGAGTACCATATTACGTGGGCTCAGGTGGGGGAAACTGCAAGATATGGATGTTAGCCAAAATTAGGGGTCCCTTTTTGGGGTCCCTATAATAAGGGCTATAGTAGATTGGGGTCTATATTGGCGTCGCCCTACTCTAGGAAATTACCCTGTTCCTGTGGTGGAAAGCTTTCGGCTACAGCGGTCGAATGGAGATGTAGCTCTACGGTCAAGACTGTCATGGTTTTTGGACATTCTGATGCCCAACTTGCCGTTTTAGGAGGTCTATGCAGCCTCAATTCCCTTAAACTTGCTAGTTCCTAGTAAGGAAAAAGGGAACATAGTATATGGGGATTATATAGGGATCATATTCCCTCATTCCCTCTCTAAGAACCAGCAAGTAAAATAAAGATGCCAGACTGCCTTCTTCCAGGCGCCAACAAGCCGACAAAGCTCCGAGGGTCCAGCCGATCTCCACCGCCGGCCCTTCCGGAGTAGGATCGTCGTTCCGCAAACAGGCAAGATCAATGGTAGTAATAATACTAGGACTAATACTGAAAACTATAACAGCCACATACGTATACACACATATATTTATATAGATATCTATAAATAACCCCATAATAGTACTAATATGTATAATAGTAATCATACATATCAAAAAAAAACGCATAACACCCAGTGAAAACCCTTAGTCTCTACTCGGGGGGAAGATGGAGGGGATGCCATGATCAGAAAACATGAGCTTGATCGCAATGGTACCACGAATATACGCGTAATCGGAATGGTAGCAAGAATTTACTGTTGTTCAGCACAAGGATCTGTGCAACCCAGAAGACAGTGATGGTACTAGTTCCAGATTCTAGTCAATGGCTAAGCCATGGTGAGAAGGTGTAAAACCACTTCGAGAAAAGTGTTGAAGGCACAGGGTGAGTTCAGACGTCAAGCTAGGGAATGACACCCTTCAGGCTACGACGTTTTCAGCTTCCGATAAGCGCCGGACAAACTTGGGGGTCGGTCAGACACTGACAAGGGAGACGATGGCCATGCAGCTTAGCTAGCGCGCTTCCTAACACCGCTGCTGCCATCCCCGAATACACCACATGTTGACAGCATCCCGTCTGCAATCCCGTTCAAAATCATGTTCCAAGTTCTTTTCCATTTGATTCTCCATTATTGGGATACTCACCCGATAAGCATCCTTGAATCTACTCTATCTTACTAGTGGTTAGCTGGGAATAAAGGAATGTAATAATCCTTATATAACATATTCCCATACTGAAACTCCAAGCAAGCAAGCAACAGAAACCACGACGGCAAGAAAAATGTGGCTGACCGCCTCCTCCTGTCCTCCGTATCCAATGTTGCTGAAGGGTGGCCCTCCTGCATAAATCAGTGCTACGGCCACAATTCTGAAACTCCAACACCGGCGCTGATAAACACATTTGTTCAGCGCTACTCTGCAGACTCTTTGCAGCCAGGTGTGTCCTGCGAGTAGCGCCCCAACGTCTTGCCCTGATCCGAGGTTTCCAGCACAGATGTTGTCCGCGCACCTCGCGAGTAGTCCAACACTGACTTACACACCTTCACAAGCGCTACCCTCTGGCTTCGCGCGTACAGCCCCTTAATTAATGTTGGGGGTTTTGGGCTGAAGGCCTAGTGCCCCTCTGTTGTCTAAGCAGTCCAGTTGTGGTTCCTCTGTGAAAAGAAACCCGGAATTCGAATACTCGAGTTGAACGGTACTTCCAAGCGGCCCGCCTTCCTTCGGGCTCTGCACGATACGATCCAGCACAGGCTGCGCTACAGACCTTGTAGCCTGGTACACTCCTGACAAGGAAAGATGCCAGTCTATGGACATCCTCTACAGGCATAGCACTCAGCTCCTGATTTGCAGACGGTGCTTCAGCTTTGTGGCCGCTGCCCCTGCTAGGCATGTTGCGCATACAAAATATATAACAGCGCCCACAAAAAAAAACCTAACTGGTCTCTCTCACACACAGACATTCCGACCCCAACCTGGCTTCGCAATGCTTTGACAAACTGAGTTGGGCATGAGTGCATTGAGTCACAATGACGCTTATAGCGTATCTCGCTTTGTTGAAGGACACCGGAAGCTGTGCATTCCTGCATATTCCTGCTGCTTCGCCTTTGCCCCACCATCTTGCTAGACCTTCCAATTAATGATTCTGGGAGCGAATACTTTGAAAAGAGCACTCGATTCGAAAGGGGTTGCTAGCTGTGTGTCTATCATGACGCAGCAGTGATGCATTCTTCGAGCTCTGGCACGTGAAGCGTGGGCTTTGAAACAGAAACCTAAATCTGCTGAAGGCCTTTTTCTCGGATTCGATGGCAGTGCCACAGAAATTTGTTGGTCAGCGGGGTCCTGGCACAAAGCTCAGTGGCGACGCAACTAATTGCAGGAGCTGTTGCAAACATGTTTGGACCACAATTTCGATACGTCGAAATAGATAAAGTTCTTGGGATCTTGAGGGCCAGGGTTGATCCTCAGCTTGGCATTGGGCTGCTGGGATTATGTTGTGTTTCATGGTTTTTTCTTGCGGCAGGACTGAGCTTGCAGATTACATTCTAGATTTTGCGGGCCAGTTCAGGGGCGTTGCCCGATGATGGCCTCGGATGGGCTCCCGGCCGTCATTTATGGCGC